TAAATTTATTCAAATACAGTCATGTCATCTTATTCTGGTTGCTGCACAGTGGTGGAAGGAAGTGTTTCACTTAACTGGGGCTTATTTTTGGGGTAGGGCTTGTATTACGAGCATCCTGAAAAATCATACTAGGGCTTAATTTCAGGGAAACAGGGTATTATCTGATATATGTAAGCAGGTCTATAACAGAAGAACAAGCCTTGCCAAGGGAAAATCAGCATGGCTTCTGTAAGGGTAAGTCTTCCCTCACAAACCTTTTGGAATTCTTTAAAAATGTCAACAGACATGTGGATGCAGATGAACAAGTGGATATTGTCTATCTTGGATTTTCAGAAGGCATTTGACACAGTCCCTCACCAAAGGCTGCCGAAAAAGCTCTACAGTCAGGAGATTAAGAGGGCAGGTCCTCTTATGAACTGAGAATTGGTTGTGAACCAGGAAACAGAGAGTAGATGTCAATGTGCAATTTTCAAAATGGAGAGAAGTGAAAAGTGGTGTACTCCAGGGATCTGTCCTGTTCTGGGACTGGTGCTTTTCAACCTGTTCATAAATGACATTGAGACAAGGATATGCAGTGAAGTGGCCAAGTTTGCAGAACACATGAAACTTTTCCGGGTGGTGAAAAGCAGAAGGGATTGTGATGAGCTCCAGAAGGATCTCTCCAAACTGGGAGAGATCCCCAAACTGGGGCGGCAAAATGGCAAATGTATTTCAATACAGGAAAATGTAAAGTAATGCATATTGGGGAGAAAAATCAAAACTTTAGTTATCAGTTAATGGGTTCTGAGCTGTCTGTGATGGATCAGAAAAAAGATCTTGGTGTGATAGTGGACAGTTCGATGAAAGTGTCAACCCAGTGTGCGGCAGCAGTGAAGAAGGCCAATTCCATGCTAGGTATCAATAAAAAGAGCATTGAAAATAACAGCCAACCTTATAATGCCATTGAACAGAACTCTGGTAAGGCCGCATCTGGAGTATTGCATACAGTTCTGGCTCGGCACCTCAAAAAAGACACAGTGAAACTGGAAGAGGTGCAGAAGAGAGCGACTAAAATGATGACTGGGCTGGGGCACCTCCCTTATGAGGAAAGGCTACAGCTTTTGGGGCTCTTCAGTTTCAAGAAAAGGTGCCTGAGGGGAGACATGATTGAGACGTATAAAATTATGCAGGGTATGGATAAGTGAATAGAGGGAAGCTCTTTTCCCTCTCACACAATACTAGAACCAGGGGACATCCACTCCAATTGAGTGCTGAGAGAGTGAGAACAGATGAAAGAAAATATTTCTTTACCCAGTATGCTGTTAAGTCTGTGGAACTCCTTGCCACAGGATGTGGTGGAGGCATCTAGCCTAGATGCCTTTAAATGGAGATTGGACAGATTTCTGGAGGAAAAGTCCACCACAGGTTACAAACGATGATGGGGATGTACAATCTCCAGGCTTAGAAGGAAGGTACCTCCAAATGCCAGATGCAAGGGAGGGGTATCAGGAGATAGCTATCTAGTCTTGTGTGCTCCCAGAGGCATCTGGTGGGGCCACTGTGAGATACAGGGAGCTGGACTAGATGGGCCCTTGCCCTGATCCAGCAAGGCTCCTTCTTATGTTCTTATGTAATTTGGGAGTGGTGGCTTTTAATTTTCAGACCCTTGAAAACCTAAGTTGAAGTGCTTTTCAATCTTGTGTGTGTGCGCGATATGTTATTGTTGTCTCTTTTGAAGGAGAAGAGCAGAGATCCCCCTCATTCAAAAATCTCCAGCAATAAGTCTGTACTGGAATAAATGCAATTGACATTTAAGAAGCAAGAACAGAATGCTTATCTAGTCCAGCAGTATGTTCATATAGAGTCCAAACAGTTCCCTATTGGATCCCCACCAAAAGACATAACTGTATCCTCTATCTCCTGGTCCCTGATAATGGATTTATAGAAGTATATTACCTCTAAATACAGGCTGGAACAGAAATAACCATTTCAACATCCTACAAGGGAGTCATTCCAAAGCACCTTTATGGCAAATTAATAACGACACCGGCAGTTTACTAACGTTTATATTAGTGGTCCCCAACCTTGGGTCCCCAGATGTTCTCCCAGAAGCCTTTACCACTAGCTGCGCTGGCCAGGATTTCTGGGAATAACAGTCTCAGAATATATGGGGACCCAACAAGGTGGATCTGATTTAAATCAAAATGATCATATTTTTCTGGAGGGTATTATACATGGGGGTGTATTATACATGGAAAAATACAGTATTCATAATTTGTCACAGCTAATTTCAGCTAATGTACAAGATGCCAGGATGTAGCACACAACTAAAGAACACCCCAACACCATACCAAATTACACAAACTTAATGTGAATAACAGTGTTTTAATTAAAAAATTTAAACCAAAACAAGGAACAGAGGATCTGTATATACCTTAATTTAAAGGTGAGCAATGTTTCCTGAATAATGATTCCCCCCCCCATCTTAACATGAATGAAATTCCAGGAATTGGGAGGTTCTGGGAATTGCAACACCATGGGAAAGAGAATCTAAGCTTATCTACCTTCACAGGTGTATTTGGTGGGTACATGGGAGAGCGCCTTCTCTGTTGCTGCTCCCAGGCATTGGAACTCCCTCCTACAGGAGGCCAAAGTGGCCCCATCTTTGTCATCCTTCTGCAAGCAGGCAAAAATCTTTCTCTCCAGACAGGCTTCCCCGGGTGAATGACTGCCTGAATAAGATTTTTAAATGAATTGTTGTACCTTACTGCTTTTAATGCATTTTGGTGTTGCTTATTTATTTTATTATTTATTTATTTATTAAATTTATACCCCACCCATCTAGACCGAAGTCTACTCTGGGCGGCTAACAATAATTGAGAAAATAAAACAATATAATAAAATAAAAAACAACAGTACTGTGGTGCCTCGCATAGCAAGGTTAATCCGTTCCGGATTAACCCTCGCTAAGTGAAAACATCGCTGAATGGATCAAGAAAACCCATTCCAAATGGGCCGAAAACTCACCGTTCAGCGATGTTTTCCTATGACTGGCAGCCATTTTCGCACCCTCCCCTCGAAAACACTGCGCGCGGCCATTTCGGGGCTTCCAGCGGCCATTTTGGAGCCGCCGAACAGCTGATCCGCGGGTCGCAAAGCGAAGGTCGGTAAGCGAAACGCTTACTGACCTTCGCTATGCGAGTTTCGCCCATTGGGGCCATCGCTTTGCGATCACAGTTGCGATAGAAAAAACCCCTCGCTATGCGGATTCGTCGTTCTACGGTGCACTCGTTAAGCGAGGCACCACTGTAGTAATATAGCTCAAGATGAGAAAAAATATTCAAGTGATGACAGGAGGGAAAGCCTGTCTAAAGAGCCAGGTCTTAAGTTTGCTCTTGAAAACACCCAGCAAGGGAGCCAGACAGATCTCTGGAAGCAGACTGTTCCAAAGTCAAGGGGCCTCTGGCGAAAAGACCCGGTTTCTTGTTCTTTCTCTCCAGGCCTCCCTCGGTGTTAGGCCCCTCAGCTGCCCTTCCTGGCTAGAACGAGTGATTTGGGTAGATCTAGGTGGGAGGAGGCGTTCCGCTAGATATCGAGGTCCTAAACTGTTTAGGGCTTTATATGTCATCATTAACACTTTGAAATCAATGCGGAAACGAACGGGCAGCCAATGCAAGGCAGCCAGAGTGGGGGAAATATGCTGATATTTTCTTGACCCACGGAATGTTTTTGTATGGTTTTGTTTGATCCTTTTTATTATATGTATACTAACTGTTATTAGCTTTAATATTTTCTTTTAATGATGCAAGCCACCTTGGGTCCTTTTAAGGAGAAAGGTGGAGTAAAAATATTTAAATAAACAAATAAAAATCCATGTTTTAAATTAACCACAGTTAAGATTTTTTTAAAATAAGCTATATTTTTAATTGAAACAACCTGCATTCCAATTAAAATTACAAGTGATTAAGAATAATCTATAGCAGCAGGTTTCAACGAAACAAGATGCAGTTAATTTAAAACAGAAGCAAAAGCTTCTGTACTAATTAATCCTTGTGGTCATAGCAAAGAATGAGGGGAATAGGTGAACCAAATACAGTATATTAAGTTTGTTCTTATTACAAAAAACCCATGGCTTATACAATGCTTCAATATACCTGCTATAAACAGTATTTACTTAATTATTTATTTTTGCACATACATACACCTAATCTCAGCACAGACAAGTCAGTGTTCATACACTGCTTACAGCTTAATCCTCAGCACACTTGAGTATAAGTAAATCCTATTGTGTTCCCTGTCAACTTATGTAGATAGCACAAACGATTCCACAAACGAGTATGCCTTTCCTCAGAATCATTCTAATTCATATTAAGGTGTTTCTCAGATGTAGGAAATGTTCATAAACGTTAAGAAATTTTTCAAAGCATACAAAGGTACAAATTGCCAGTTTTTAAACATGAGACTTCTCATCCATTTGGAAAAAACAGAAATATAAACAAATGGCAAATAAACATAACAATATCATCTTTATTATGGTTGCAGGCCAGCTAGATTATAAAAAGACAGAATATACAGAAAACTCCTATATGGAGTATATGAATCCTTCTTTCAAGGCAATTGCAACATTTTCTCTCTAGTTCTCATAGCAATCAATAAAAATGTAGACACCCTGTTAGTAATGTAAGTGGACGCACCCTCTAAACAGGACAGTAACAAATCTGTAGGGCTACCATGCAGAGACACCTACCAGTGGAGAGATTAACTTCTTAATAACAATATGAACTACAACACCTCTTAAAACATACTTCTAAAACAGGTATATTTGTGTGTGTGTGTGTGTGTGTGTGTGTGTGTGTGTGTGTAGAAAAAGCCTATACAGTATATAAAATCAATGTGTATAACCAAGCTCTTACAATGCCATAGAATTGGACACATTTGTAATGAGTGTTGCAAGAACCAATGAAGATATTAGAATACTGTACTTAATATGACATTCTGCAACATAATGAAATGATTCTTACCATGACCGTGGACTGCTCCTGGACTGAATGATGGCTGGTGTAGTTCTTTGGTTGGAGTAAGATATCCTTCTCTCCCTGAACGCTGGCTCATTTTGCCTGGTGTCTGAGCATGAGATTCATCATTGTTCGTTACAACAGCTGAAAAACAATAGATTATTACTTGTTATTTATTTTTCTTACTAATACACAGTCATCAGTTTATATGGTATTATAAAGACTAGAAGACAAAAAGCTTCCACCTGGAGAAGTTTATGATATAAAATCCCACACAGCAGAAACAATAAAGGGAAAAGGGCAATTTTTCAAAATGCAGTTTTCCTTAGGTTGACTTTACTAAGTCATAACAAGGTATGCCAGAATCTTCAGGAAAAGGTGGGTTTTGAAGAAAATAACACAAATGGCACCAAACCAAACTTCCTTGGGAAACGGTTCCAAGCTTACAGAGTAGAAAAGGAGACCTTCAGGTGGCAGTGGTCAAGTTCACAGATGGAGACATTTTAAAGAGACAAGAGATGTGGAATGAATGATCATGAAGGACGTTGAAGGTCAACAAAAGGGATCCTGTATTAGATCCAAGAACAGACAGGAGAGCAGAAATGTTCTCCAGACTTTAGGAGAAACCTCTTGAAAAGAGGCATATCTCTACCCCCAACCCCCACATGCAGAAGTCCTCTACTTGCTTACTTCTCAGTGCCTCCTCTTTCTAGCACAGACAAACATTTCCCCTAACAATCTGCAAGCTATTCATCACTCTACATCTTTGCCTGGGCAAGGCTCCACAATGCCTGTAATAGTAATATGGGACCTACTGCTGCATATCCCCTTTCTATATTATTCTGGTAATATCAGAAGACTAAGCGTATATGGCATGAACTAACACTTAGGCTTCCTACCCCAGAATTACCCAGTTCTTGAGAAATACTAACATCAAAAAGAGACATAACATTGTCACCTCTCATATGGCCTTGATACTCTTAACATTACTGGAGTAGCACAGCAGGGGCATATGATGACTCCTGGGAGCAGATGTGTTTTGGTCTGCAGGCAGGTTTGACCTCAGAGCTTCCCTGGCCCTACAAGGTCCCAGCTGAGAGAAGCTCTCTTCACCAGGACATTATCCTAAACCAGTGTCCTTTGCCCCAACAACTGGGGTGACAAACACCAGATGGCAGGAAGAGAGAAAGAAGAGGAAAAATTTCTCATGAGATTTCCCATCCAAAGGACAGCAAAAATGGCAGCAGCAGGAGAACTGAGGAAGAAAGAGCCAGAGGTGAAGAGAGGAAGATGACAACAGTAGATTGGGAGACTGGACTGGTATCCAAAATGAGAGGAAGCTGCAGCCAGTACATCAGTGTACATGGGGTTCACAGGCACTTTTAAAGACCCAGATCTCTCCCTGTGCCTCACCAGAACCAAGCACTACCCAAAGAAGTTGAGTTCAAGTACAGTACTGTGGTTCATGTTGGAGGAGAACAAGCTTCAGACAACAGGCTGAACCCCAACTCCACCTTCATTGTGCAGGTGGAGGCACCAAAGACAATTCAAGAGACTGCCAGATGACAAAGAATTTGAAAGACGGGAAGCTGCCAAAAGTAAAGAGGTGGACTGTGTTTGGTCATCAGTGGTGGTGGTTAACCATTCAATTCCCACTATAAGACTGTGAAAGCAAGCTGTCCCGTGTTGAACCTTGGGAGTCCAGGTATGACTTGGAACATCTTAAAGCAATAGAAACTGAAAGTGATGAGCTGGAGAAAGAATAAACCAAGGTCAAGCTGCAACTTCGCCCTTTTGTAAATGGCTCCCCAATTAAAATTCTACGGAGTTGAAAGCATCTCTGAATCTTTATTAGAATATGAGTAAGTTTGTTGAAGCTTTCAATGCCTCCCTACCAATGAATAGGTTAAGAGCCCTCAGACTTGCATAAGAGAAACCAAAGTCCAAACACACTTCTTCAGAAAAATAGATTGGCTGTGTCTTGTGAGGCGGGTTCCAAACTGTTGGCAGTCTACAACCATTTGCATCTGAAGAAGTGTGCTTGAACACATGAAGGGTTATTAAAAGTAAAAACTAGTCTTATACAGTAGGTGCTACACGAGTTCAGTTTTCTCTTTTGCTACAACATACTTAATACAGTCACCTACTAGGTTACTTCTTCCACCTTCCAAGTTATTCTGTGAAAACAGGTACTTACTTCCTCATAGAATTTCAAATTCTCTTAAGATTACTGCTTCTTGCATACAATTTCACAATAAAAGTACCTCACGGACTTTAGCACAGCATCAAGTCTTGGTTTATAAAGTGAGTTACAAACCCTTACAGTATTTCAGACTACATCTTGGAAGAGTTAATAACCTGGGAGACAGAAGCAACATGCAAAAAGATCGTGGTAAACTCCAGCACTGGGCTGAAAACAACACAATACAAATTAACAAGTACAGAGTTCTATACGGGGGGGGGAGCTAAATGCAGAATTACGAGATAGGGAACCAAGGTTCCCTCTGAGGTGCGCACCTCTATGTGTCTGACTCTGCCCACTCCATGCAGGGCCCCTCCTCCTCTATGCACCCACAGCAATCATTTTCAGCCCCTTTGACTGCAGTTGTGATGGAACCCTGAGGGGAGGGGAGAGTTGCATGCATGGGGGTGAGGTCAGGTGCACAAGGGGCCAAGCCCTGTTCAGCAGGGCTGAAAACATTGTAGGGGATGCTTGGCTCAGTAATACTACAAGTGAGAAGGATCTTGGAATTTCTGTACATCACAACCTGAATATGAGCCAACAGTGCAATGTGGCTGCAAAAAAGGTCAATGCTATTTTAAGCTGCATTAACATAAATATAGTCCCTAAATCCTGTGAAGAACTAGTTTCCCTCTTGGTTAGGTCTCATCTTGAGGTTCTTTCCAGCACCTTAAGAAGGATTCTGACAAACTGAAGCAAGTTCAGAGGGCAACAAGGATGATCAGGGGACTAGAAACTAAGCCCTATGAGGAAAGACTGAAAGTTAACTTTGAGAAAAGAAGACTGAAGGAGATAGAATGCAGAGCAGGGACAGAATCTGTTCTCCATCATCCCAGAATGCAGGACACATAATAATAGGCTCAAGTTACAGTAAGCTAGATTTGAGCTGAATATCAGGAAAAAAAACTCTTAATAGTTGTAGCAGTATGACAATGGAACCAATTACCTTGGGAGGTGCTGAGCACTTCAGTGCTGGAGACAATCAATAGAAAATTAGACAACCATCAGTTAGATCTGCTTTGATTTTGATTCCTGCCTTGAGCAATGGACTTGGACTTGATAGTGTTATAGGACCCTTCCAATACCAATATTCTGTGATTCTGTGATCTTCCCAACCTTGAATATTTAAAGTTTTCTAAGTTATACCACCCCTAAAATGACAGCTGCATGCATGTTTAAATACCAAACCCCAGAGGGTAAAGCTTGTGCTATGAGCCTAGTAAGTTAATACCCCAAAGGCTTATTAACATTTCATTTCATCATAGAACATGAGCCTAAGATCTAAATAAGAAAAGTATAATGTTCCTTGTTGAAATTCGGTTGCCTTTTTCCATCCATCACCCATTCAATAAAAATTAACTATTAGGAGGCCTTCTCTGGTGGCTATTTCCCCAATTTCTTTCATGCTGTCATAGTGCCCTCTAGGGATTCTACTATGAAAGCACAAATTCTGTGAGTTCAACATTATAGTTTTCCAATGGAAAAATATAACAGTTCTCAGGGTAAGAATATTGCCGTACCTATTTAAAGCCACAGAAAAATACTAGTTGATGTCTTCTGTGGAGGGAAGGGGAATTTCTCGAAAACTATATACTCTGAATCAGTAGTATAAAAAAGTATCCTAATTTTCCTAGGACTGCTGCCCTGATCCCATCAGATAAGATCATACTAGCCAAAAAAAGGGGGGGGGGAGACGTGTGTGACAAAAGGCCTTGTCTTTCCCATTTCCTCTCCTTTCAGTGTCATTCCTGCACCCCTGAAAGTGACCAGAGCAAACCACACTCCATGGCTTTAGGGTCCTCCAGCAGACAGCTGCAGTAATCTTTCTGAACTCAGAAAACGGGAAAGTCACAGTGAATATAATATTGTTATAAGTCTTGAGTTTTTGAGTTGCAGTGCAATACAAGGAATTTCTCAGTAGCATGTATGAAAAGTGATTCACATCTGTGAATGTCTTGAGCAGAACATATTTCCATATGAGTGCCGAGTGCCTGAAAAAGAGGTGAACCAAGTAAGCTTGAGAGTATAATCAATGACACTAGGATGACAACTGTTTAGGAATGGAGGTTCAAAGATACCGAGAGCCTTATTCAGACATTCAGTACCCTAGTAGGTTAAATGTGTGAGGAACCTGCCCTCTCCAAAAGGAAAGACTCATCACAGACAGCCTTAAAGGATTAAAAAAATATCTCCTCTTCAAACCTGTCACTTTGTGTGAAACTAACCTTACACTACCACTCCACATTCTTAGCCCACCCCAGACACTTAGTGACTCAGAAGAGTTACAAATATAGTGGACTGGATCTGAAAGCAGAAGAAATAAGCACTCTGTCAGGGAAGCTTGCAGTTAAGACTGAAATTGATATTACACAAATGGTAAAGGAGAACTGTAATATAAGTTAAAGTGCCAGAAGGTGGTAAGACATTGAACAAGATATAACATTATAAAAATGATTAAAAATATTTGTTGTTCATTATATCCCTCCTTATCAACTGGTCAATACTATTAATGGAATTAAAGAGAAGCAAGGCCTAAAAACTACTAAGACCCTAAGCATTGTCTGCCCATACAGACAGAGATAGTGGTTTCCAAAATAGCTTTCAGTTCTGAAAAAAGCAGGCCCCACTATGGATGCGCAAACACACTTTACTGGTAAGGTAGATGGATTCAGACAGCAATACAACACAATGAATTTTGTTGTCATTTGCTGTTGTGTCAGAATTGACTTATAGCAATCCTAATAGGGTTTTCAAGGTAAGAAAGGTATTTAATGAGTGGTTTTAAGAGTTCCATATCCCCAACGAGCTTCAGTGTCTGAGCAGGGATTGAAACCTAGGCCTCCTGGTTCCTAGTCCATTACTTTATCCACTACACCACACTGGGTACACAATGAACTAACTTCTACTAAAATTAATGGTATCATGAAAGTGTGGTTCAAGATCAGAATATGATACAGTAATCAAGTTTCCAGGAGGGGTGTGTCTAATACAGTGTTTCCCAACTTGGGGGACACGATCCTCAAGGGGGTCATAAAGTGTTTTTGGGTGGGGGTCGCAGGTCCTTATTAAATAATTTCTTCCTTGACCTTTTGGAGCAGGATTTTAAAGATAATATGTATGTGCATGTATAAGAAACAAGCTCTCTGGGGGAGAAACAAATCTCTACTTTCTGAGAAAATATGACTTTACCCCATGAAAAATGCCTTTTTATACAAATATGGTGGAGAGGCTGCAAGTTACCTGGCTATTATAAAAGAAGGTCGTGACTTGAAAAAAAAGGTTGGGAACTACTGGTCTAAGAGAAATTTAATTTGTCAGTTTTCTAACAAATTAGGACCCTTCTTATCTTCACATATATTCTGAGTACTGGGCTGAGAACACTGGCCAGAATCCTGCTGGGTTGGTGAAGCATAATCTTTAAACTGTGTAATGGGTGTCCGTGATTGTTCCAGCTGATTGAGGCATCTCAAACATATAGTGGTGCCTCAATTTACGAATGCCCCTACCTATGAACATTTTGACTTAAGAACAGCCCCAGTCACAAAATTTTGCTTCGACTTGCAACCAGAGCTTATGAACAGAAAAAAACGCGGGGAAGGCAGGGAAAGCGAGAAATTTGAACTTTCGGTTAACTGTTGGCCAGCGAAGAGGCTACTTGTCTGCTACCTTGATTGCCTCAGCAGTTAGAGAGTCTGGATATGGAGAGAGACTTCAGACTGCCTGGTACTATACTGTGTGTATTATATATTATTTTTGGCTTTTTATTTTTAATTCTTGGATTAGGGTTAGGTGTGGGGGTTATGTTTCTGTGCTCTGATGGGTCTTGCAGACCCTTTCTGCAAGGCTGGTGTGCTCTAAAATTTATTTTGGGCTTTTGGTTTTATTTATTTATTTATTTATTTTAAAATCAGAAAAAACTTTTTCAAGGGTATGTGCTGGCTGGTGTGCTCTAAAATGGAGTTTGTTTGCTTGGTTTGGTTTAAAATGTGTTGATGTAAAATGTGTGGGTTTAAAATGTGTTTCAGATTCCAAGCTCTCTCCCCCCCCCCATTGTCTTCTCTCTGTGTGTCTTCTCTCTTTTTGTGCTTAAAAGCACAAACCTTTGTCTGAGGGATCTATGTGCCCCAGTGATGACCTTTTTTCTTTCCTCTTTTCCCCATTGTTCCCTCCCTCCCTCCTTTCCTGTCCTTTTTTTAAACCTAAGTCATCTTAGGTTTTAAAAAAATTTCTCCCCCCAGTGGTGGAGGACAGATTAACCAATTTTGCATTAGTTCCTATGGGAACTAATGCTTCAAATTACAACCGGCGCCTCTACATACAAACAAAAAACAGCCGGAACAGATTAATCGGGTTTCAGTGCATTTCAATGGGAAATGCTGATTCGACTTGTGAACGTTTCGACTTGTGAACATCTTCTGGGACGGATTAAGTTCCTAAGTCGAGGCACTACTGTATTCATATTCAGGTCACTTACTCAGTTATGCACATAGGTGTGTGACCTGTAGTCAGAAAATTAAGAACACTCATTGCATGTTTTTTCTTATGCCACAGAATTTCATAATGGATTCTGCTCACTATCTTTTGATCCACAGCAGCTTTTAAGCTACATGAGCACATATTTTCATAGTTCAGTTATACTATCTTTCTTGTACTGAAACTTTAGAATTCCTTCTTAAGACTCAGAATTTGCCAATGTTAGTTAGCTATGAAAGAGGCTAATGAAATCAATTGTCTATCTTAGGAGAACACAGCAGTTTGCATGTGGTAGCAGAAACCGTTTCACTTACTTGTAGGTCCCTGCCAGTCTTTGATCTCACCATGATGCTGAAGATGCAGTGCAATTGAGTACGCAGAGCAGCAAACAAAAGCATCCAGGCCAAAAAATGGGGAGGGGGAGAAGAATACAGCAGCCATACAAAAAAGGAAAGAAGAACAAGGGAAATAGTATGTTAGTTTAAACTAAAAATACAACATGCATGTCAATCCAGACAGAGTCTCAACTACACAGATCCAAAACAGAGGAAACAAAGCAAAACAAAAACACACACAAGCAAATATGCTTCAGAAAAGCCATCATTAGCTTTGCTGCACTTAGTAAATAGCAAATTCCCTCCAGCCATACAATTTGTGATTTATTTTTCAACTCAGTGTCAATGACTCCCACATAAAAAGTCAAATCCAGTTGTTAGCTAGAACAGTGAAGTCAGACATGCTTTCAGAAACTTGAAAATAAAGAAGAAAATATTAACTTTTATTAGACTGACAGCAGAATGAATGTTATTGGTAGATGAGTAGAAACCAAAAACTTTACCTTCATTCTGACAGCAGCTTACTAAACAGTACTGAATGTTGTTGCATAATAGTTTTTGCCACAAACATCCAACATCAGATAAAAGAATGACATATAATGAAAAAGTGGGAGGAAATCAAGAAATTTCTACAATAGTAAGATGCATTACTGATATATTTATTTCAATTAAAAAACACAGGTGGTTGAATTGGTTGACAGTTCTCTGGTTTGTAAAACCAAAGAACCTTTTAGGTAGACATACATAAATACATTTCTACATTTCTGACAAAAATCTCTGAGCTTCCTATACGGATTGTTCAGGTATCAACTGAACAATAAAAAAAAGAATAATGACTGAAATAGTTCAATTTCTATTAAATGGGGGAGAATTTTTTGGGTTTGGTGGGTGTGGTCTGAAAGATTACAAATCTTTCTCTCCTTGAGATAAATTGGGAGGAGAAGATTCTTTCTCATCCTTCTGAATCTGCTCCACCCAGTTTTAAAAGCTTTAATTCTGTATAGTCAGTAAACAGTACAGGAATATGGCTATCATGTATCAGGTCAAATTATTCATCCACCTATCTCAAGGATCATCTGACTGGAAGCAGCTCTCAAAAGTCAGAGAGCGATAATTTTTTGTCACGCACCACTTGATTCTTGTAGCAAAGCAAGGAAAAGCCTCAGGAGCTGGGAAAGGGTGGGAAATGCCACATCTGACATTCCTCCCCACCCCTACCAAGCAAAACATCAGTACTATGGTCCTATTCCAATATAGCTGGAGCTCTGAATAAGGAACTCTCTTTGTAGGGGCTGAGAATACATTACCACATTTTATTGCAAGCAAGATTTGCATTATATAAAAGGACGAGGGAATATATAATTGTTCAGTTGATGTTTATGATTATCAACTATTTATTATTGCAATTATGCTTAATGGTTTTCTTTTAAGCTTCATAATGTCAAGCAATTCATTTTAAAATCTGCATTTTCAAGAAGCTCAATAACATGTGAGTTGCCCCTACTCAAGTGTACACTTACAAGCATAGAGAAGTTTACCATTCTCCATTTATAATCTGATAGGTTCAAACAAAAGGCCAACGATTTTTGAAAACTATTAGCAACAGTTGCCATGGCTGTCAATCTCAGTGAAGCCCTGTCTGCTTTCCCATTCTTTCCTCTTTTTTTCTCATTCAACACTATCCTTCAACAATACCACTTTTCCACTAGGGAAGGGAATAACCCTTAGAGAAGGATGTTATGATTAGAAATGGTTGGAAAGAGCTAACTACTCCCCTCTCCATGATATCCCTTCTGTTCTCACTGGCTGCCTCCTACAGTTACCTTCCATTTAATTAGAAAGAAGAAGAGAAAAGCCGTTGAACACATCTCTTTGGCCTTACAAAAGTTACAAAGCCAAATAGACCATCACTAATTAATTTTTTTCAGCCAATAGTTCTGTGATGCACTCTTTCTATATACACACATATTATTATACTTCTTAAGGGTTTTCCACCAAGTCTGTCCTTTTCCTACAATTATATTCCAATACAGGCTACTAAGTTCCTCCAGGTAGAACTAAAAAAAAAACTTCTGACCAAAATTCTGGAAATTAGCTGAGGCAGTACAGATTAACAGAGAAAGAGTGTTACAAATCAGTTGGCATAATCACCAAATAAATTAAGCCTTTCTGAGACTATACAACCAGAACTACATATCATATCTCATGCACAACGGTTTGAAGGAAGATGGGAAAAGAGGAGAACTATGACCCTGAACATAATAAAGTTATGTGAGTTATTAAAATCCAACCACTATACTATCATACTTACATGATAAAACAATGGAATCTAGCCACTAATATCTTCACAAGCCTGTACAACAGAGCAACTGACAGAAACACTGAAGCAGAAAAGCCAAGTCCACCACCTGATTATAGCAATGGCCAGTATGTAAATATTTTAGCAGTGCATAGCTAATCACTTTCAAGGAGTTCCTAAGCAATGAACAAAGCTTCAGTGACATGTAATTCTATTAACTCCTGTTAATGAAAACCACTTTATATAGTATGCATTGAATGCTGCCTTAAAATAGCAACTTATCTACAATCTGATTATAAAAGCCTTACATTTTATTAATGTAGACAATAAACAAACAAATGTTCAAACTTTTGTAATTTAGCAACTGTAATAATAAATATTATTTACAATTATGAAATTAAATAAAGCTATTTATGGGGGGAAACATAGTTCTGGCAAGCAGGGAAGCTTTCCATACTGATCTTCCTTCAAATCTCTTAACCAAATTAGATGTTTATTTATTTATTTAATTAATTAATTTATACCCCGCCTATCTGTGATAATTTCTTCTACCTTCATATTTTATCCTTCCCTCAATCATGTTATTGTTACCAGAAAAATATTTACATTGATCAGTAAACTAGGAAAAAGCAATTTACCACACCAAGGAAAAGTTTTTTACTTAGTTGTTTATTTCTTTCAACTTGTACAGAACAGAAGATTTAAACATGGAAGGTCTTTCTGATAAAGTTGTGATAGCAAAGTCTTGCTTTCACATACAGTGGTGCCTTGCACACCGAGGTTAATCCGTCCCGGATTAACCCTCGCTGTGTGAAACATCGCTGAGCGGTAAGAAAAAACCAATTGGAATGCATTAAACAGTGTTTAGTGCGTTCCAATTGGGCCGAATACTCACCGTTCAGCGATGCTTCCCTATGGTCAGCAGCCATTTTCGCGCTCTCCGCTCGCTGAACGAGGGCGTGAAAATGGCTGCAATCAGCTGTCTGGCGGGTCCAAAATGGCAGCCGGAACAGCCGAAATGGCTGGCCGCAGCGTTTTCGCGCCCTTGGTAAGCGAGGGGAGGGCACGAAAACGCTGCGCCCGGCCATTTTGAAGCCGCGGAACAGCTGATCGGCAGGTCGCAAAGCGAAGGTCGGTAAGCGAACCGCGATTCGCTTACCGACCTTCACACTGTGATTTTCGCCCATAGGGGGCATCGCTCTGCGATCGCATTAGCGATCGCAAAAGCGTCACCGTAGAGTGAATTCATCGCTCTACAGGGCGCTCGTTCTGCGAGGCACCACTGTAACTTAAAGATATTTTGCAGAACAGCATGTTTTTCTTTCAACATTCAGCTACCCTATGGTTCTCCTTAGGGACGTGGTGGCACTGCGGGCTAAACCGCAGAAGCCTTTGTGTGCTGCAGGATCGGAAGACCAGCAGTTGTAAGATCGAATCTACGTGACGGAGTGGGCTCATGTTGCTTTGTCCCAGCTCCTCGCCAACCTAGCAGTTCGAAAGCATGTAAATGCGAGTAAATGGGTACCATCTCGATGGGAAGGTGAACAGTGTTCCGAATCTAAGTCGTGCTGGCCACATGACAACGGAAACTGTCTTCGTACAAACGCTAGCTCCACAGCTTGGAAACGAGGATGAGCACCGCCCCCTAGAGTCGAACACAACTTACTAAAATGTCAAGGGGAACCTTTACCTTTTACCTTTATGGTTCTCCTTACAAATGATATACCCAATATTTCTAAACAACAGTTGTGCATCAATTTATTTGCCACTATCATTTACTGATGCAGCTGCTATATAATAGTTTGCGTGGCCACATTATTTCTTCTTTCCCTTTAAAGTTTCCTATCTCACCAATTTAAATTAAACATTTCTTTTAACATGAGAAGGAAAAGTCAGAAATGACCTAGATTGCTATTTTAGTATACTGTACTATCTTCAGTAAGTTTAAAGAAACATATTGTATTAACATTTTAGATTATATTTAGAACTACACTAAGCAAAGTTACAAATCTAACATCAAGCCTTTAATAATTCAGAATAAGAGTTCAGCAATAACTGCAAAATCATCATCTTCATCTACATTACCATCCACAGCTTCCCAAATCAAGACAACACATCAGCTGTACCAAGGACAATAAACTTCACATTTTGTGTAATGGTTACAAATGTCCCACTAGTTGATGCTAATACTGGATTCAGGAAGTGAACTAAAGCAAAAAAGAGGAAGAAGAACAATATTTTACAACTGATATATACTATGATCACACAAGTGTGTGCTAAACCAATAAGTGATATGTTATGCTTACAAAGTCCACTTTCAGATTGCAAGCATTTTTGGAAGAAAATCAAGCAACGTGTTTTACAGTTCTTTGTCCAAAAAGACCAAAATCTATAGCAATCGTGAACTTGGTGAAACTAACTTTTCAGATTACACCCTATTACTAGTCTTTTAATAAAAAATCAAGAAGTTCTTGTGGGCAGTTCCAAACTTATGCACTGTTTTTAATGTCCTGAATTCATATGGCTTATGGTATAGGGCCAGTAAGCTTCTTCGATGGAAGCAACTATAGCATGCATATTAATTTCAAGTGCTTCTTCAGCTAGCAATTTGGAATTTATGACCCATCTCTTAAAACAGAGGAAAGTCACCGGCAATCGGGGGTCCCCTCCTTCTTCGAGAAAGGGGGGGAACTGCCCAGTAGCATGGACTGCCTGTA